CCCTTCATTAATCTAAATTCTTGGAGGTGTAAATATGGGACATTTGAAACTTAGTGCTGACTCTTGAGAATTTTTGTATTAAGCCCTCTCATTTCCGTTTTTGTTCGTCATCACGGCCGTTTGCCAATGCCTCTGTTGTTGGGTTAAGGGCTCGCCGTTTCCTAAAAATGTATCATGATTAGGTGTACACAGTCTCACAGAAATTAAATAAGTAACTCAAAGGTTGATTAAGGACAGATTAGAAAGTCCTGTGTAATGAAAGTACTTGAGATGAACATAGTATTTGTAATGTTATATCCTTTTGTGAGGTTTGTATAAATTATGCAAGTATCCTATCTCGATCTGTTTCTCCAAATTATTCTTACTCACACTGATGACTCCATAAAGATGACTGTGACCACAACAGAACAAAAATGCTGCTGGTTCAGTTGCTAAATGGGAACTCCCAGGTTACACTCAGCGATGTAACTATTGTTTGTGTTTGACAAAAAAGAAACAGCGGCGAACTTGACAAAGACGTGCAGTAGGGAGATAGTAGGCGCGCCATAGTACTGGAATAACAAAACAGCAGCAATGACCACTTTTTTATCCGCGGGATAGCAGCCTAAACATCAGCTTTGTCAGTGTAACCAGTTGTTCCACATTCTTGTTCTAAACAAGAATTGTTGTTTACAGTATGTTGAAAAAGGAGGCTTTCGATATCTTTCACGATTCGGCCAAGCTTGCCTTTTTCTTTCTTTCTTGATGTGCTCAAGGGTGAGGGTAAATTAATTACCAACGTAATATACCTTATGGACTGGTACTAAAGTTTCATGCATAACAGAGTTTGAGAGAGATTTGTCAATAGATGTGATGCGCAAGGCAAAATAATGAAAAATGGCGCAAACATTTCAGAATCACAGTGACGGTGTTGATAGCATTATGATTTAGAACGGGCTGTGCTGTGGACTGATTGATAACCAACAACATTCCAATCTTTTCAACTGCACACATCATTCCACCGCCCCAGATATTTTGTGCTGTTATGCGCAGTAACCACTATCAATGCATGAATCAAAGAAACCAAAATCTAATAAGATCATAAGCAAAGGATAAAAGCACCATGACTCACCATCTTCACAAGAAAAATGACATGGTGCGAAAAGGGGGAGGGTGGGAAACGCGGTTGAGATCCCTTGATAGTCATTTTGTAATTCTTTACTGTTGAACCAATTCTTGGTTTCATGAAAAAACGATGGTTTTGTGATGGGCTACCTTCCTCTTACATATTCTATTACCCCAAAACATTTTTCTAAAAGAGCGGAAAAGCTACGAAGAGCCCAGAACTATCTCGTCTAAAGATACCCGTTAAATAAGACCAGACATAGGGTGATGAACTCGATTCAATGCCGTTAATTGGCCTTTATAAAAAGATTACTCTATATCCTTAATCGTGTACACTTTTTACTGCGGACCATCTACTGAAGAACTATGCGAAGCAAATGCGTTACTAACAAAGATCAGAAAGAAAAGAGATCATTCATCAGTGTCGTTGTTTACGAGAGAAAGTGGTCACCAAATGTTGCTCGTAGTGTCAACATAAAATGTAAAAACAGCAAGAGCATTTTTCAATATTCTCCCTTGCTTATACCTGTATCTTGCTATCTTCACCACGATAGTAATGCTAATAAACCTACAAGTTTTGAATCAGCATATACTTCATATTTGTCTTTACATCGCTTCAAGCAGGTGTATCATAAATTCATGAAATGATTATGGCAATCATACCTCATTAATATCCTGCATCGGCTCTAAAACGATTGATAATGCTCTTCGCTTTTGAACCCCATGTCCGGGAGATCTTTGTGCGCTTTAGTTGAGATCGCAATAGCATCGTCGCTTTATCTCACCCCATAACAGGAAGAAGCTTTCAAGCATTCGACTGCTCAATTTTCAAAAGCACTAAAGTGCTACCCTTTCCTTTACATGCCCGAATTGCCTTCTTGTTGTCTAACTATCTAATTAGTATCATATTTGTAGAGAACAAAAAATTCAACCGCTCGGCAAATCAGTAATACGACTTTTTATCACTTATTTTGCATATTGGCAACTTGCAACTGCTTCTAGACTAATAAAAGGTACAATAACTGTCCATGTCACCAACTTTCTAGCTAGCGACGGTTATACCATTCTGCGCTACCTTTGTTCACCCAAATGAATTCTCTCGCCGACCTTGTAGTCGGGGTCAATGACGCATGCTTGGTGGTTTGCCAGCGGATTGCGCTCGGCTCTTGAGATCTGACCAAAATTGTTACATGATCGGGGGAATCTTCCTTTGTCCTTCCTCTAATTCAGCTTGTTTAATTTTTCTTCTTAGATGAGGTCTTGTTTGTCTCCTCCCACAGCAACAGATACCGCGTTCGCTATGATAGGTAGTATCTACGTTATCCAATTACTTTGAGGTTATTGTACACAATCACTTGAACTCTTCAATTTTCTCATAGTTTATAAGGCTTCTATCTCTCTTCCTCTTCCACGTCTTAGCCTTTTTGCCGCACTTCATCCCACCGTAGATCCATAAACATGCGTCGAGACAACACCCCCACCTTGATCGACATGGACTTCGCTTGACTTTTTTCTATCATTGTTCCCGCTTACTACTGTTTAGATAGATAAATAACTACTATGCTGCCTCGCCTTCGTCTTTACGCTATTTTCTTTATCGAACTCCTAATAAAAGCTGTAAGCAAAAGGCCAAAGGTCATGATGGAGTTAAGCGAAGCAACAAACACGTTAACTTCTCATACAGTTATTCTTCCATGTTGTCAGTAGGAAAATTTTACTCGGACATTGTCCTTTGGATGATTAAGTGAGTTTTGTTTATGCTTTCGCTTGTTTGTCATGTACAAACTGACGGACAGTTGCATCGAAGGAAAGACCAGCGCATCGATGGTAGGCATAGTAACTTTCAAAAGTTTTGTATCAATCATCATGGGCGTATTCATGTAGCACAAATGCAAAGCCCAACTGTTTGCTATGCATAGCTATCCGAAAGTAGAATAGCCGTTTGCATTTGCATGGATCTGATCTGCAAAGCCAAATGCTTTTGCTGTGCAAGCGCATAGTACTGTGATGTTGTCATTCTCAGCCTCTTCTTCGTTCGGATAAACAATGCCAAATAGGTTCGTAGCTAAATTGCGTTCTCTCCGCCGATCTTTCTCAGAAATCTATTTTAAGACTATATGTTGCGGATACGAACATCTAATTGTTGATTATAATAGCGAAATATGTGGCACAGAAAAGTAAACCACGAAAAGGATGTGATGGAGGTGGGGAAAATGGAGCTTACTACCGTGGGCAGAACCGTTCAATGGTAGTAAAAGCAAAGATACTTTTGCCATTGGATGTCAACACTTTCGCATGTTAATGTAAATCGTACTACTGGTAAAAGTCATTTCCATTCCACTGATAGCAAAAGCAGATAGATGAAGCACCAACATAAGCTGCTGATGATTTTTTGTCACACCCTTACTGTTACGAAGCTGTTAACTTCACACGCCGTTGGTTTAAATAGAAGTATAGATGAAAATATTGCTTTTTACAATCTTCCAAACAACGATGATTTCAGCACTCTTCGAAAAACGTAGACAAAGACAAATTCTCGATGAGCAACTCGAACAGAACAGCAGTCATACGCGGCAGATCACTGCACGTATCTTGTAAAAAGCTCGAGAAAGAAGGCTTTCCGCTGCCCAAGCACGCCAAAAGCCAAAACGCAAGGTTATCGACCGCCAACGTAGCAAGTTTCAGATAATAGCTATGCAGGACTATTTTAACCAAGTCCCAAGATATGATGCAACCTTTATCGTCGTCGCTTCCGCATGCAACGCGAGTTGTTCTTGCGCATAATGCAAGAACTTTAACAGAAGTACACATTCTTGCAACAAACAAAGGATGCGACCGGAAAACTCGGCTTCCACCCTTATGTCAAAGGAACTGCAGCCATGTGCATATTAGCATATGGCGAACTTGCTGATGCTATCGATGAGTATCTTAAGATTGCTGAATCCACAGCAAGAGAGTGTGGACGAGATTCTGTGAAGGCGTCATCGAATGCTTTGGAGACGAATATCTTCGTGCCCCAAACCGAGCAAGAGAGGCGCGGGGATTCCCGGGCATGCTGGGATCCATTGACTGCATGCATTGGGAGTGGAAAAACTGCCCGAAAGGATGGGAGGGCATGTACTCGGGAAAGAAGGCAAAGCAACTGTCATCTTGGAAACTGTTGCCTCCCATGACTTGTGGATATGGCATTTATTTTTCGGTGTACCTGGTTCTTGCAACGACATAAATGTCTTGTATAAGTCCCCTGTTTTCGATGATGTGATCCACGGTCGCGCGCCATCTGTGAAGTACACCATCAATGGTAACGAGTACGACAAGGGTTACTACCTGGCCGATGGCATCTATCCTACGTGGCCGACTTTGGTGAAGTCGATTCCGGCACCTCAAGGGAGGAAAGAACAGGTAAATGCTTAATGATAGTATTAAGGTTATCATCTATCTCAAACATATATCTAAACATTGGTACGATGTATGTAGTACTTTGCGCAAAGACAGGAATCAGTGCGCAACGACTTTGAACGCGCTTTTGGTGTCCTTCAAGCACGCTTTGCTATCATTTGACAGCCTGCACGTGCTGGGAATGTGGCGATCCTCAGCAACATTATGCGAGCTTGCATAATCTTGCACAACATGATTGTTGAGGACGAGAGTGCAAGATACCCTGATCGCATTACTCTTCCCTCTGACTATGATACGAGCGAAGGTTATAATGTCGCGCCATCTCTCTTGCACGGAGACATTAGCGATGATCACGTAATCCTCTCGCGTCTTAAAGAGGTGCGTGATGCTCATGCTCACAAACAATTGCGCACAGATCTCATGGAGTATCAATGGCAAGAATACGACAACACTATGTAAAACTATTTGACATTTTTCTATATCTTTTAATATATTTTTCATTCGTCTTCTTCCTGCTCATATGTCTTCATGATGGCTGCTTGCTTCATCGCAAACCACTTGCGTCCTATTACGGTCAGCGTGCTGACATCGGCGCACATTACCTGCTGCTCATACGTATGATATCTTTTTGAAGTCTGATGACTTCCTCGGCAGCGACGGCGTTCTTCTCCATGGCAGCGGTCTGCTTTACGGCCCTCTCCTCTCTCTTCTTCTCCCGCTCTTGCTTCTCAGCATCATCGTCGTTAAAACGTTGCTTCTTTGCAAGGCTGGCAGCCTTGGCTTTTTCCTGGCCAACGGGCCGCTCAGCATCTTCTGCTGGATCAGATGCTTCATCTTTTTTCTTGGCAACGACGGCTTACCACTACCCATTCTATCTCAAGATGACATAGCAATGCTGCATCTTGAAAGCCTTGCCACTTTTTAATGAAGGCTTTAACGCGTATTCTTTCTTGACGCGATCCTTCTTGGATGAAAGATAGTAACGTAAAAATGACTCTCAAAGGAAGATTCTTTTTACCAGCTGCTCGTCGCTTTCGCCGCTAGCTTTGTTGTTGTAAACAGAGCTTACGCAACCCGCCTGTCTTGCGCAACAAGCCGAGATCAGGATCCAGCGATTCTTGAGACCCTTCAAATCTCTGTTGTGGCTGTTGCCGTTGGTTTCGAACTTCTCGGTGACGTTTTTCCAAAAGGTCGAGCCTTTTTTGGTCGGCACCTCTTTTGGAGTCCTTGAAAGTGTCGAGCCAGGCGTTTACCAGCTTCAAGTCTTCCTCATCACTCCAATTGACGTGACCTTTTTTGCTGTCACTGGCATTGTCAGCAGCAGCAGCAGTCTCAGGAGCAGAATCCGTGATGTCGACATTGGTGGTGGGGAGTGTAGAGGTTTCAGCTGCAGTAACTGCAGGGTCGGCGAGGTTGTTGTTGTTGTTGGAAGTATCGTTCATTTTCGTCGAAAGAATTGTGTTTTAAAGATAAAAGCTATGGGTCTTTAACTTTAAGGACTTTTGCTCAAAAAATCAACACAAGCAGCAACCCATGGACACCCGACCAACAGGACAGTTTGACATTCTGTACCACAAGCTTGACCAACCCATTGATGATGGTAATTTTTTTACACGACAAGCTAGTGTGGAACACACCATTACTCAAGATATCCAGGGCCACTCCGTCTTTTTTAATAAATGCATCTTGAAATCCAAAACGTCTTGGGCATTCATTACACAAGCGGATTTGTTTGTGCAGAACGACAAAAGCATTGATGACTGTGCCTGGGAACGCCGCCACGAGTACTATGAAAACCCCAGAGCATTTATGATTGACAAAACTTACCGCACCATAGGAAAAATGTGTGCAAAAATGTTCAAGAATGTGCATATTTTGTGCAGTGTGCGGTTTTAGGTTCATTTTTGCACACTTTCACACACAGGGAGAAATAGATTTCGTCCCTGAAAAGCTCTCCTGCTCGATCCTTTTCTTCTTATACCCAGTGAGCATTGTCTCTGAAAGAAACTTCTCTTGTTCAATCCTTATACAAACAGTAAAATACCTTCCAGCTATTCAAGTTAATTTACAACAATGCCTAAAAGCTTTGTTTATGAGTGTCCCATCTGTGGTTACTTCTTTAACAATGCCGAGACCAATCAAACTTCTCATACAAAAGCGTGTGGTGAAGCTATGGCTAGACGTGTATTTACTGAGTTGGGTGATGCTACGTTGAGCGGTAGAAGTCAGCATGACGTGAGTATGTTATTATTTATTTACGTCTACAAAGCAAAAAAAAAATATAACTGCGATTTTAATGTTTAGTTGATTGACAATGTCGCTGGGCCGAGTGAGGAAAGAGCATCGCCTGAGCACTGGCTATCTCTTGTGAGTTCAGTTTATACTTCTTTGCGTAAATGCAAGAGACTTAAATTTCGCTGTTAAACTGTAGCAAAATGAGAATGTCAATGAATTCTGTGATGACGGAATGGACCTTGATCAGGACGTTGATTGGGATGTGCAATCTGATGGCCCGGTTTCTGATCAGCAAAAACGGGATGCTATAATTAACGACAGTATGGAAGGTGTTGTCGACGAGTCTTTGGATATGAGTTTTGGTGCAAGTGGTGATACGGAACAAGTGCGATTGCCCGATAGACAATCGGATGAGGGCGGGGATGGATATGACACGTGCAGTGAAGAATCAGATAGCGATGGATATGACGATACGCCTGACGTTGATGCATTCTCGACAGCACCACTTAATGATGGGGAATACGATTACGACTTTCGCTTACATGCTAAAACCACAGTCGAGAAAAATATACGATTGGCTACCAGCATCCACCAACTTGCTCTTGAGAGTAAAGTCCCACGCTCCTTTATGGAGAAGCTCATTGAAGAATTCAATGATTATATTCGCGGTCATCTACCTTTGCTACCGTGCCACTACAAAGCAAAACAGGCTTTGCTTAGTAACTACCCTGTTAAACCCGTTCCTTACGATATGTGCCCAGATGGCTGTATGATGTTTTCTTCACCTGCTACTGCGACTGATCGGTGTGATAGTTGCAAAAAACCTCGATTCAAAGGCGGGGATATCGCTAAACCGCAGCAACAGATGAAATACTTGCCACTTGCTGAACAACTGGCACTTATGCTGAATGATCCGTGCACGAGACAGTATTTCAAAAGCCATCGATCAGACAGCACAGATATGATGCGTGACGTTTTCGACGGTAAAAGCTACAAGCTGTTGAAGCACTATGGGCGGACAGACGACAGTACGATTCACTTGGGCATGTATACTGATGGTTTCAACAAGAATGGATCGTCAATGTATATCGTCCATTTTATCATATTCGACTTACCACCAGAGATCCGTTACGAAGACAAATACCAGCTCCAAACTTGTGTCATACCAAGCAAAAATCAGCCAAAAAAGCTGTTTACTTTTTTGACAGCGCTGTTGCAGGAACTCGACGAACTATCGACAATAGGAAGGACCGTTAAGACGACAGACGACAAGGATCTCGCTTTTAAAGCAATACTCTTATGTGTTGGAGGTGACTTACCGGCAGTGGCAAAGATGTGCGGTCATGCAGGACATATGGCGAAATATGGGTGCAGAATTTGCGAGGTGTATGGCCAGCGTAAAACTGGTAGAACAGTATTCTTGCCGCCATCCGATAACAGCATCCCTCCATTGCGCAGAAACGAAAATTATTCTCCATCCGAGCAAACTCTGGCGAATGCTACAGATCCTAGTACAGCAGCAGACGACTCTTCTAGTGCTGAATCCAACGAAGAATCGGATGTAGAACCGGATGACGCTGGTGCTGGAGATACTGTCATTGATACGCGAAAAGGTCTTCTCGGATCTCCGATGGCAAAGCTTTCATCATTCCATGGCCCATTCTTTTATCCTAGTGATATTATGCATCTTCTTGGGCCGGGCGTAGGGAAGCAGTTTTACAAGCTCCTGACAGGTCATTACGGGAAGACAAACAATCCGTTTTACTTACCTCCGTCTGTCCTCAAAAAGATTGGTGCATGCATGGAGAAATCGAGAAGGCTGGTTCCTTCTGGATTCGCCGGTGATTGCGCTGATATCACCAAAAAGGCCGGATTTTACAAAGCCGTGGATTGGATACATTTTATGCGCTTTATCGTGCCGACTCTGGTGCTCGAGCATATCGACGATGTTGATGCAAAAAAGGCAGTAAAGAATTTATCACGACTGTACAACCTTGCTTGTCGTCGAGAAATCGATACTGCTGGCATTGAAGAGATCAAAGAAAAGGCTAAGGCATGGCTCCACAGTCTATCAAATTTCACAGAACAGAACAAAATCACTCACCACGTTTTTACAATATCACAACATTACCTCTTGCATCTATATAAGCACATCCAGTTTATGGGACCATTGCCGATATATGCAGCTTTTTCGATGGAGCGAGCCGTTGGCGTAATAAAGCGAAACATTACATCGAGAAAAGAACCTGCCGCCAATTCGCAGAATGTCGTTGTAGCTCTTGCTGCAATGAGATATATGCAAAGAAAGAAAAACGACGATCCACCAAGCAGCCAAAAAGTGATATCCACATCGAACGACGAATCGGCGCCCGAGCTTTGGGGTCCATTTGACGAGAAAACAGTAATCGAGCTAGGGATCAAAGATGCTTTGGCTTTTTACTGGGCTAATCGTTTGGGCGGCTATGACAAAGTGAGTGTCACAGGCGATCAATCGGTGCAAAGAGCCAGTCGGTGCTTTGCAGACCAGCAAATCTGGGGCAGTACGTTTCGCCAGGACGAGTCTGATAGCAAAAGTCGAAATCGTTCCTGTGTTCGTTTGGCTGTACGCCTGAATACCGATAGAAGCCGCAGCGCGAGGAAGAATATGAAATACATCACCTATTTTGGTGATGTCCGTTTTTTCTTTTGCCACGAGCATGACGGTATAAAGGTGTTGCTCGCTGCTGTTGAGGTCGAGCGTACTTTGCCTGATGACATTTGGCCATATAGAACGTCATCCAGCTCAACCAAACTTGTAGTTATCGGGATCGAGTCCTTGGTGACATCTGCTGGTCGAATAGTGAACGAAAACGAGCGACAGTATTTCTACTATCACTTTGATCCGTTTTCAGATAAAGAGCTGCTTACACTCGATCCTCATTTTCTTTATATTTAAACAAATTTTAAAAAGCATCCTTTTCCTCTTTCGTCTCCCCACTCCTCTTTCTTTTTGCTTCCTCGCTCTCTCTCTTCTTTCTCTTCCCTCTTTAACCCTCGACGTCAAAATACGCGCACGCACAGCCTCTTTTTATCTCCTTCATTTTCACTAAGTATAATCAGCATTAAGTAGAATCAGAAATATATAGCGTCTTTTTATCAAAAACAATTGAACAACTAATGCCAACGCTGTTTAGCATACCAATCCTCTTCTGTCATCATTTGTAAACCGTCGAGTTCTCTATCCTCTAGTGACACGGTTGTGCGATTATCGACATCCTCAGTTACAACATCACTGACATCGTTGGCGCCGTACATTACAGGAAAACTAGGTGATGGGGGCGAGAGACAAAATGACGATGACGATGACGGGGTATCGATATTTTCAACCTGATTGTGTGACAGTTCTTGAATTGGTGGAGCCAGAAACTCGTGATCGGTACCATCATGATCAACTATCCAGATCTGATCCGCTGCTACAGATCGTCTAAAGAACCTAACATTGTAATGATAGTCGGATAGCTCTCTATAGAGTACGTACAAATGCAAGTGCTTTTGCCGCATAATAGTCGCCGAAACACACCTTTGTTGTTGTATAAATCTTGCCATATCAGGATCGCTGTCAAAATCCCCTCTGCTATGCTCCTCAAGCAGCTCACGTAGGACTTTACTGCAATGGGCCTTTGAACTAGAACGTCCTCCCCGAGTAGCTTCAAACAAAGCTTTAATACTAGGATCAATGTATGTTATTAGTTTCTTTTGTTGGTTTCTTCATGTTCTTTTTATTGTGTTTCTAGAACGGATGTTATACATACAGCGAGCGTTCCCTGTTATACTGGTGTCGCATCAGTCGATTTACCATTATGAGCCTTTGGTCACAGTGTCTGCATAGTATGTCAGAATGGTCGCTGTTAGTGGGTTGGATTGGTGACATTGTTGCGTAGTACCAAGGCGGTGTCCAAAAGAAGACCAAAAAGAAAGAGAGAATAAAGACCTCAGAAAATTTAATCAACATGTACTTACTAAGGGGTATGGATTGCTGCACACCCAATCGGGAAGATATTGTCTGTGAATCTATGCATAATGCATCCCCTTCATTTGTTTGCTGAAAAAGCAAATCACCATTTTAATTTAATGTATTTTCTATCCTTTGACTATTTGAGATATATCAGCAAATGTGTATTGATGTTAAAAATGGATACATAGTAACCACTAAGACACATGCGTATCACATAAAACAAAAGCATTATCAGAAAAACTATCGCATTCCATTAATCAATCTGTATTGCAATAAGAACTGAACTTGGAAAGGAAAATACTAAATACTTCATTCCTAACGTGAATATCGCTGCTTCCTTTTTGCGTTTCTTTCACTTTCACATCACCCACATACACCATGTACTCTGACCCAGCTTACACTAGACTTCTTGAAACTATTGGGGATATCCAAAGAAGCTTTTCTGAATACAGACGCAAATCCGAAGAAGATCGTGAGCAACTACGCGATATCATCTATCAAACGCAGGAAGAGCGCTCTGAAATATTAGAAAAGGTCAACTGTATGGCAAAAGAAATGGAAACAATGAAGACCCTCCTGCGTTGCGCTCTTCAAGAGAACGCAACTAGTCCTGTTGACCTGTCGCATGTGCCAGCATCACGCTTACCGACCTTTCCTCCTCTCGAGCGTACTACAGAACAGCCAACGTACAAGAATAACAAGGGGCAAATCGTCGATATGCAATTTGGCTGGGACATATTCAAATCATTGTTAAAGAAAGCTTTAGGCCCTGGATACAAAGAACAATACTTCAGGTTGATGAAAGCCAGCTGTAAACCACTTGCGGAGCAAGCATCCTTGACGCTGATGAATAAGTACAAGATTAAAAACAAACCGTTGCCTCGTTTTTGGAAGGACGTTAGCACCGACATGCAGCTTATTACTTTACAAGAGTTTGAGCAGGCAGCGCAACCATACCTTCCTCTGGCCATGTGCGTAGACCACTGGGGGGCGCGTCTATTTATCCGAAAGTTCTGGCTGAAGGGTGACGATGACTCCACGAATCGTAAGTAACACACTATCAAAAAAAGCTGGCTGTTTATGTCAACTATAACTTCATTGTCAATAGAGCAAAACCCGGCATCATCATCAGCAACAACAACGACATCATTATCACCAGAAGTAGAAGCAGCAGTAGCTTCACCATCGCCATCACTATCATCATCGTCGTCATCGTCAGTAGAGGCAGCAGCAGCACCATCATCTTCGTCATCAGTAACAGCAGCAGCAGCAGCACAAGTCGTCACAGGGGATGCTAGCATCACGGTTGGGCAACAGTAAGAATTAAAAAATCTTGTACTTACATCACATTACACGTTTCTAACTCTGTAATTTAATAGAGCTGAGCGTCATCGTCAACCCTTGCTTCCGTTGCCGGATGTTGCTCATACGGATGATGAGGAAGAACAGCAGCAACCGAGACCAACAGCAAAGAGACAAAGAAGAACAGCTTCAGGTAGGCAGTGTATGTATGTACTCTTCAAGTTACCTTAAACGTATTCATAACTTCGTTCTTCGTTCTTAATGATTCTTCATTGAATAGTGGCTCATGATACTGAGAACGAAGGACGGCGCAGACCACGCAAAACTGGCAAGAATAAATAATTTTGGTGTAAGTATTGTTATCGTGATCTGCTTTTGCGTGTTTTCTGCTCGTATCGCTAAAATAAACAATTCCTTTACTAACAAGGTCGTCTATCCGCTAAACTTCTTTTTAATTACGATAAAGTCTGTACTACTACACACTTTTTGTTCCTCTCTTCTTCCGTCATAGTCTTTGCATCGCCATCGTTCTTTTATTATTTGTTTCCCTATGAATATTCCCATAACAGATTTTTGTTGTCCTAAAAAAAAGAATAAAACGCTATATCCTATATCTATAAAAAAGCAATTGAATAGTATGTTTGGTCCAATGATAATCGGGAGTTACTTTCTGTCGTTGTACGGCTCGTCCAGTGAGAAGCCTGTTTTTGGAGAAATGCTGTTGTATCTACCCAATGAAACGCTAGTGTTACTCTGTCAGACGTTAAAGGTGTGTGTAAAAACGTACAAAACCAGCACAGTTGTGTGCAATGAGTGTGCAAAAGGATACATATCCTGCACAAAGCTGTGTGCAAAAAATGTCCAAAAAACTACGTAGACGCACATTCTTACACATCGCTCAAATTCCGCACATTTTTGCACAAATCCTGCACACTTTTTTCCTATGGTGCCGTGACAAGAGTTGGAAAGAATTGGTGATACGATGGAAAAATATCGAGTACTTGGCACTTGGTGGATATGTCGGTTTGTTGCCCGGTACAAGACGACGTGCTTTTCTGGGCTCTGCTTTGAATGACGATGTAGTGGATATAATTGAAGAAAGAGAATTTGAAATTCTTGTTCCCTCGTCGCCTGTATCTTATGTACAATCGCCCCGGTATTTGCGCAGTTACGCCAAGTCTGCAGCTTTTGAACCATGGTCTTATACAAGCAAGAGATATATTCGGAACGGTTTCGAAGCATGCCATGGACTAGTCCTCGATAACTACCCCAAACGGACGAAAAAGCAAGTAAAGGACCGTGGAAGTATCGTTCTCTTTTGCTGAATGTTGCTGCGGCTAAATTGTACACCAACCATGATCGGCAAAAAGCATTGGTATTATTAGAACAAACGAAAGAGTTCAAAAATGTGTCGTTAACAAGATGGACAAAAGTTGGAACTTTATCGCAAGCATTGAACATTATTCCGAGCGCGGAGCCATGACGACGATGGACAGTCCGAGATGACCGAGCGCAGCGAAGGTCATCGCTCAACTATCCGAGGAGGAACGAGGAACTCGAATGTTATCCCTCCCTCCCTCCCTCCCTCCCTTAATTCTCTTTCTGTTTGTTTTATCTGCTATATCTATACTCCACATTTTGGTAAATAAAAAGAAGGAATAACCTAACGAAACCAAACACAAAACATTCCCCTCATAGTTATAGCACTTCCCGCATATTGTTCTCTGCCAACGCTTTTTCACGGCTAAAGAGACAGAGGAATAGTAGATTCTTCTTTTATATCAATACTGAACCATTAAAACTATTAGTCGAATTCGATAAATATCATGAGAGGCAGGAGAACCAGGACCGACAAGAATTACTCAGCAGTTGTTTCCACGCAGAAGACGAAGCTTACAGAAATTTTCAACGAGTACTTGTAACCATTAATGAAAAATTGCAATGAAGAAGTATTGAAAACTTTAGTACGATGGTTTTTCTGGCATTTTCATCCTTGTATATCTTCCATCACATACACACATTATCTTTTAACATCCCAATTGGCATACATACTCTATTTTGTAAATCACCATTCGTATGGATACTATCATGATCATCTTTCACTGCAAAAAAAAATAATGTCCGGTTTTTGTTCCCGTGTTTAAAAAATGAATATTCGATTTCTAAATAGAAGATATTCATTTTTGGCTTGAAGAAGCGAATATCATCCAACGTCATTGAGAATAACTAACAGTATTTATTCTGCTGACTAAAACACAAAAGCTCATCCGATGCATGAACCGCTCCAACCCTATCAAGAAGTCTGTTGACGCGTACGATCCATATCGCATCGTAAACGCTGAATTAGACAAGAGAAAAAATTCACTCGTTCACTAGTTACAATGGTGAGAGCAGCCAATTCATTTGAAAAGGTACATGACAAGCGTCTATACAATTTATTATTCTGCACACTTCTAATATCAAATTTAATCATGGCACAGCATGAGGTATCTGATGAGTTCCATATAGAAATCGATGCACAGGAGGAATCTTTCGGAAACGAAACCACAGCCAACGGGACAAGAAAAATCTAAAAAAAAACAAACTGGTTCGACAGAGGAAAAGCCTAGAGTAAGAACAAGGAAAGCATCCATCAAAGCAAGCTGTTAGCCCCAGCAGTAATATCATTAACGATCCAATTCATTATGTATCTATTCGCGCGTTTAGAATTTCTGATCTGCTGTTATTTGACAGGATCTAACAGAAAATACAATGATATGCAGATTGTTAAACTTGTTGATTTAATTCAAACGTGGCAATCAGCGCAGCTGCGGTTGCTTGTGAGCTTATTATGCCTGTACGTACTACTCAGAATTATTGGAATCGTTCCAAGAACAAAAAGAGCCCTATTTACTAAGTCAAATGAAAAAATCGAAAGTAAGGCCAGCCATCAACAGCGACAGCCTGAGGATACCGCAACTCTTCAAAAGCTGTACATTGATGATCCAACTTAAATAAACAAGGAGGCGCAAGAATTGCTTGGGGAGAAGTTTGGTTTAACAATGACACGCAAAGTGGTTTATATAGGCACCTTATACAAAAGTGTGGCCCTACGATGAAAGAACCCACAAAGGTACCAGACGCACGTACATCACCTGAAATTATCAAGAAGCGGATGGATGGGTACTGGGTATCAACAACAATCCAGAGATTTATTTTGCAAGTTGTATATATATTGACGAGGCAGGATTAGACCTACATATTAAACGTACATTTGGACAATCTAAAAGAGGCGAGCAGGCAAAAGTAGTAGTTCAAAACCATCGAGGTATTAATATTTCGATTTTAGTGGTTATTGCAACCGAAAGAGTAATGAATTTTTCTTTGCGAAAGCCACAAGCCGTAGTTGGAACAAAGAAAAGAAAGTTACAAGATGGTGAAGAACGAGTGGTAGCGTAGATTGATACACGAGTCGATCATCTTGCACAGCTTCTAGAAACTTTAATGGTGTTTTGGAGAGAAAAACGATATGTCTGGCAAGACATTGATAATGGACAACGCAAGTATCCACCTTGCGAAAAACGTAAAAGAAGCAGTAGAAGCCCGTGAATTACCTACCTCCATATATCACATTTCTTAACCCTATCGAAGAGTTTTGGCCGAAATTAAAGGTACATTGGCGGTAAGTGAGAGCTTTTAACAAAATACGACATTTTGATCCCACGAATTATCGGTTCAGCCCACTTGATCACTTCAAAGCGATTGCCAAGGGTGGATTCAGCACACGAGAAAACGTTTATTTCCGCAATGTATTTTGCAGGAATCAAAGTTGTAATGCCTATTGTTTATTAGCTTTTTTTTGTGAATAAATAAACGATATCAAAAAAAATAAAAGGAACCAAAACAAAATATATCAAAATGCTATATTATAACGCCTAGTGAAAAACGTCGTCGGCCATTCTATCATGCGCCAAGTTAAAATCCCCCCATCAGCCAAATGGAAGTTCGTGGCACGCCACGTTGAAAAGCAAAATGCGCCAACCATTAGTATCGTTCTACGTGGCTTACAAATGATAATACAGTCCTGTCGTTACCCATCAACGTCCTAATGTTTTTCTGATCATCCGTACATCACCATTCGTACAAGGCAGAGAGTAACTACAAAAAGAAGTGTCATCATATGAGCTACCTTATGAAGACTTTAGCTTCTTATACCCATTCTACGATTATTAAAAAGCATGATTTCGAAAAGGCGTTGTCATTGCCGCTTTTGAACAGAAGTTACTGCTGTATTTAACTCCATTTGGTCTGTGTACTATTTGCGATAGCACAAAACAGATGAATCGGTCAAAACCGACCATCATTGTTCTTTTCGAGCTCATCATGTCTGGTATCACCTAAAGGAAGAATTCTTCAGTGTGGCTATTCACTCTTACTTTTCATCTCCCCGCAGCGTGTGAGTAAGTAGTGTAGTTACAACAGTAGTGGTAGTAACTTTCACAGCTATCGAGTGATACCACTCCTTGTGCTCTCCATTGTTGATAATTCCTATGAGCGTGTTCAACATAACTCCCTCAAAAGGTTAAGCAGCAATTCTTCTTCTTATTCATCCTTGACCTTTTACGAGAGTGTCCAAGGGTCTCTTTCCTATTAGCCTTTTGAAACCTCGAGTGAGGAGAGATACGAGGCGGTGCTATATACATTACAGGGTGTCTGGTTGCGGCGGGAGTTGACTCTTTTTCAGTTGTTGCTATATGATATCACAATTAACTCTGGGTTTGGTTCATCCTCATGGTGGTCTATAATTGCCAGGGCGCATGTGCATATGGCAACATATGCGCGCGGAGAGCACTCACCATACGGTTTTGCATTTAGCCAGCGCGCTTTGTAAATGTTTCTGTTTTCAATTCGGCATACAAACATTAAGGGACAGAACGGACTCTCGTTTTTATACCTGTTATCAAACAAGGTTTAAAGGAGTATAAGGCGTAAGGTTGCTTTTTCAATCCCTTTTCCCAAGAAAACTAGACACATTATGTTTATCGCCGATCACTATTTACTCTTACTAGTTTACGCACACACAAACACATAAACATTAACAGTTAACTAGGATATAGGAAAAACGGTAGTACCAAGTATGGCCAAAATCTCCCAAAGGCACATAATTAATACTCTTTGGATTCTATCTGTGTTCCCCAATATTGTCCAATGAAACAGGCCGCGTAAAATGGTTATTTTGCTTTGCGGAGGTAAATAGGAAATAGCGCTGAGGATGAATCAAAATCCCAAAAGTTTCTTGACGTTCCATGCTTACGATATAAAAGAAAACAACCGAATATGGATTGAAAGCACGAGAAAAGGAAAAAAAGATTGGGGACTGTAGTCCGCACAATGTTTTTTTCTGTTGTAAATGGTAATAAACCGTTTGCAGCGCCCAAATTATTTTTTATATATTTCGGGCATATATTTCTTTGGTCTCGCCAATGTGTGCTGGAGTATTATAAATGATCAGTATCATATATAAAATTATGAAAAAGCTTAACTTTTATCGATCTAAGCTTTAACTGCTAAATGAAACTTTTCGTGCTATAATTTAGCAGGGTGTTGGCCAAACTTACTAAGCTAAACTGGTAAATTTGATGCATGCATACCTCATATTCATGCCGGCTTGAATTCGCTCTAAATAAGACGAATACACGAGCGGAGTGTAATACCTATCTTTGCGCACACAATTTCAATTGAAAAAGTGAAAAAGGACAGAGCCCTCGTTAACGAGCCGCAGTACTTATCATACAACCAAGCCTCAACTCCCTAGCAAGCTGCTTAGCAATATACATAGGTAGGAAAGGTGCAAGAACAAAGATGGTAGCATTGAGGCGTCTTTTGAGATGGCAAGATCTAACAAGATGGCTTTGAAAAAGTTATCTAAATATATACAAAACATAACAAATTTGTCTGTATTGTAGTTTTCTTCGTTTTCCGTCGCTCGTGCAACACGACTCCGGTCAATTGACGATTTTGTTGTTCCTGGAATTCACTGAGTTGCACAAGACATCTCCAAAATAAGCTCGCATTGCCCAGTCCAACTTGTTTTCATCTTCTATTTAAAGGTCATAACTTTGCAAACCGGGCGCCCACTCTTGCCTACATATTTGTTTTGTTTACTTTCTGTGTTTTCGCCAGAATACTTCGCCACTCTTTTATTTCTAAAAATACAGAACCTGGTATAAAAAACCACCTTTCCTTTAAGTGAGCCCACGCTACCCTCCTTTCCTTCCTATTTGATTCCCTTCACTACAACAACGCACCGATCCTCCTTTTTTTCTCTATCTCTTTTACTTAATCAACAACATCCACGTAATGCTGTCTAAACTTGTTCTCGCTATCACCCTCGGCCTTGCTGCCGTGAACGCTCAGTCGACTTTCCAATTCCAGGAAACCTATCCTGAATCTTATGTGGTGCCTACGCCCAAGCCCGAGTGGCTCGAATTGATCTCAAACGTCACCATCACTGATGCCCCTATCATTCAACAGAGCGCTGATGGCGGTAAGTACCAATACTTGTATCTCCATTGCAATAACCGTCTCAAGGGAGCAATTGACTCATGTACATAATGGATTTATCTAGTGCTCCAGCAACCCACCGGTGTTACTGGTGATCCCAACTGTGTTTGGACATTCACTCAATGTCTTCAACCTGATGACTTGTATACTTGTCCTCCGGGAAAATGGAGTGTCACATTTGACGATGGACCTAGTGCCGATACCCCACGCTTGTTAGAATACCTCAAGTCCGTGAATCAAAAGGTCACCTTCTTCATTGTCGGTACACAAGTAAAAGAGTTCCCCCTGATTTTGAGGGAAGCCTATGACCAAGGTCACGAAATTGCTATGCACTCATGGTCCCATAGCTACATGACCACGTTGACGAACGAGGAGTTGGTCGGTGAACTCAAGTGGAACGAGCAAATTATCAAAGAAGTTATTGGTGTTTCGCCTAAATACTTCAGACCACCTTTCGGCAACATCGATAACCGTGTCCGTGACATCTGCAAAGCCCTCGGATTCACTCGTACGTATAGTATTCTATTCTCGGTAGTAATACAGAGCTTCTAGCTCTTCTGCTTTTGTATGTTTGTATTTCTGTTTGCTAACTCAGTGTATATATGTGACTGTGTGTATATAGCTGTCATCTGGTCCACTGACACTAACGATTGGTACTTGACTGAGCATGCTGACACCTTCCAGGTCGACTGGATTAAGGGTAACATTACTGAATGGGCCGCCACAAACACCACTACAGGCGGTATGTCCTTGTCCCACGACTTGTACAATGTCACTGTTGACGCTGCTATTGAGTACATGCCTACCTTTATGGAATCGTTCGAGCTCGAGACTGTCGGTCAGTGCAACAACCAACAGGCATACAAGGAAGGCGCAGGCAATATCAATGGTACCACAGCTCAGCCCAGTGCTTCAGTTTCTGCTAGCTCCTCGGCAGCATCTTCCGACTCTACCGTTGCTGCCCAAGATGCTGACGGAGAGAGCAGCGCAACTTGGCTCACCACAAACTCTTTCTTGGTTACTGCCAGCATTGCAGCTATCACGTACTTTAACATCTAAGTTATTGCCTCCTGCACATAATAGATTCACTTGTAATAATTCGCTATTTCCTCCTCCACCCAAATAAATTATGTACTATAATATATAACCAAATGAAGCGTGGAAAGGGCATGGTTTCTGTGTGCGGGCTTATTATATGTCTTGGGCACTCCTTTTTTTCGAATCGAAAGATCTGTAGATAACTTAATGGTAATCTCGGAAAATAGGTACATTGTTAAATCAAACGAAGTTTATTTAGGGTCAATAGCAGAGTTCATATATCAATAAAGATACTACTTGAGCAACTATGAAGATGCATACGATCTATTCTATGATCTGAACCTGTATAACGGCTTGAGCATGACCCGCCTTTAAAATACATACACAGAAGATATCTGTTGTGTTGTTCATGTCCCTGCCGTATGATGCTTGGTCGCAAAGATTATTGTCTAAAACTCCCAGCATCATCATTTCACCTTCTGCTTCTTTTTGACCGCTTAAATGTAATTATTGTTTCTCGATACTATACCGTCCTATACCAAAGTTATTTGCAAATGGTTATGTAGTCACTCCATTGAACCCATAATTAATAAAAAAGATCCCAAACCAAACTTTTCATAACTATATCAACCAATTATGCACAAAGCGCACTTTCTATTCTCGTTGTTGTACTTTTACCTAGTGGTTGGACATGTAAAAGAGAGAAAAAAATATGGGCTACAGAAAGCTTTAATGAGTAGAGTATATGTGGTATAGTAGTAGAGTAGAGAGAGACATGGAGAACATCGACTACAAAAAAAAAGTATTATGCTTGTGAATGCAGTAGTAAATTATTTAGGAGCGAAGTCTATATAAAGCATCGACAGTAAACGGTTAACAAAAGGAGTTTAGTTGCATATGCACATTTGTCATATCCTTTCGGTAAGCCAAAAATCAATTTAATTTACCGGGGAAGCACTCTTTTACAGTCTTGCCATGCTTGCTATCAGCGTGTTGTTCGAGCCTACAATACACAATGAGTATATATGTTCAGCATAATGAGCATCAAATGAGCAAAAAAAAAGCAAGCTTACAATTTCTCACTGGCCGTGGTGAGGAAGGTTTGGAAGCAGGTTTTGCAGACAATGTTCTTGGCAGCAGCATTCTATTATTATGATTAAGTTTAGAGCGAACCCATCACCAAGATTTGCTCGATCTTCTCATATTTCGACGAGAAAAGCACTTACCACTTTGAGCTGCGACTTGGCCTCCTTGCCACCAGCCTTGGCATTGCGCTCACGCTTCATTTGTGCCTTTGCTCCCTGTTTCATAAGACGATTGTTAAATCTCTCTGAATCTTTACCTTACACACATTACCAGCACGACTGATTTAAAAATCAAAAGAGAAAATACTAACGTTGCCCATGTTGTTTGTCGAAAGATGAAGTTAAAGAAGTGCACGTTGGAAAAAAAAAATTTGAGGTAAAACTTTATTCAGCGCCAAAGCAAAGTTTTGCGCCACACACTTTCTGTTTATTTCAAGAAGCGTCGCCATGCTCGACATTTATCGTCCACTCCTTGTTTGCAAATCCAGTTGCTTCTTCGTTGTTATGTAATAAAGATTCGGCCATAGCATCATCACCTACAATTGTACCTGCATCATTCAAGACCACCTTTTTCAAAGGCTTGATGCTACCAACAGTGGGGTATTTCTCGCACCCAAACTGCCAGGTGTCCAACCATTGGTTCGCTTGACATCGTTCATTAGTCCACTCTTTTCCGTATGTGAGTGGTTCAAACTCTCGGAATACAGAGATTGTAGCGACCGATAGTATGATAACAAAGAGAACACGGCCCTTGGGAGAGAACTTGGTCAGTGCGAGATCCACGCCGACGGCAAGCACCAGAATGGCAAAGTACAGCGACGGAAGGTAGTGGTGCAGGAACAATTGGCGGTTCATCAAATAAAACGGCAGATAGTGCATAAGCCAGCCCATTACATAAAATCCTCCTGTGCTTTCATAAAATGCGCGACGACCTATGAGCAAATTGACGTTTTAGTAAAGCCATGCTCAGCTTTCAACCTCCCTATGATATTCTGATGGCAAAATTCGGCTTGTTACCCTGATAGTGGTCGCTGTAACCACGTTTGCCTCGGAGCTGGAAGAAAAACCACAGGATGAAGAACTGGAAAATGGCGACCGTCGAAGCCCAGTAGACAACGGGGTTACCAATAAAGTAAATGTGCCGATCCGGGGTTGCCCAGAAGGAAATGCCGCTGCGTAACGTGGGCCAAGAGGAGGGTCGGGATTCGTAAGGGTGCGACTGCGTCAATCCTTCGTTGGCCGTCCACATGACCTTGTGTAGCTCGATAAATTTACTCCAAAATCCAGGCACTTTGTAGTTGACCATCTCTGTGCCTTCAGGTACTATAAACAATGGACGCATATATGCATTAGCTCTCACTCTCATCACTCATTTGCTATTCAGAATGTGGAGAAAGTAGAACTTACATAGATCATTTGTGGACTCTTCAATCACCCACATAGTTTTAGGCTTCTTGCCATTCTGGATACATGTCACCTCTTGTTGGCCAAAGCCCCAATCGGGCAGCTGTACTGGATGTGAGAACAAGGAACATGATTGTAGCGCATGGAAAAGGCGGAAGTTGCTGCGTAAAGTCTGCAATTTATCTCCTTCCTTGGCACCTTCAATATCCACTCGCCAAAAGTCGTTGGCATCGCCTTCAAAGTTGGGAAAACCATAAGCACTGACTTCCTTGTGGTATTCAACATCTGTCATGGGTGGCGTTTCATCGTGGCTGTGCAGCTTTCGTGGGCTGGTGCTTACATGCTCTAAGCGCACAATATCTCCATGGCGAATGTATTGAATCCATGTTTTGCCATCTGCGCCCATGACATCAGCTGGATCATTGGCTTCATCCAACGTGCTGTTCAGTTTTCGGATGACCCACCAGTTGTTCTCGTCTCGGTGAGGATACAGAGTTACTTGTTGCTCTATAATACATAAACATAATAAATTACAACGCACCATCCATCTTTTCTTTTATAGCTCTATATCAAGATCGAAGACATAGCTGAAAATTTCCTTACGTTTACTGCCTTGAGGATATGAAGATTTGTGCGAGTGAAGGTATCCACCATTAGTTGCCAAGTGTCGGACAGTAATCTTTGAGCCATAAGCAATGTCGATAGGACTATCTGGTACTTCGTGGCCAACGAGCGAGTGTTGGAAAGCAGCTGACATGTGCGCATCACCATCGCCAGACAAAGGCAGGCTGAGGAAATGGAAATAGAATGTGCTGATATATATGGATACAGGTATGACGACCAAGCAGATGACTCGAGCCAAAATATGGTGGTTATAAGTTTTCTATCCTCCCTCCCAATTCACATTAGAATATATACACGGGATAAAAGGCTATTGGTTTTATAGGCGAATTAAATAACATACAGCTCACCTTTGTAACATTCAAGTCTCCTAATATCCGCCATAAATCGCGTACAGTAGAGACACCGATCGTGGCAATCGTGAATAAACCTACCCACTTGCAGCTTACGGTAAGACCTAGATTCACACCCGTAAATGCTAACCAGAACCACCATCTACGTCCAAATGGTCTATTTTGAATAAACGAGTTAGTCATCATCTTTTCGAGCAATCGAGCAAAAATAAATGGGTATACAGTGGAAAGGTGGCTTACTGAGAGCTTTGATTGAAAAATCGTGTCCAGCAAAGAATGGTCAAGGCAGTGAAAAACAAGAGTGGTGCATCCAGTAAGATCAGTCGGTTGTTTGCAACCATGCTATTCTCTAAAATCCGAATATTCACAATTAAGTTAGCCAAACCTTTGTCTTCGCGTGTTCCTGTTCCTTTCGAATTTTCTTTACCATAACATAATGCGAGAGCAGCGAATAGAGAAGCATGGATCGAGATACCGCTTTGGCGCAAAGTCATATATATCATTGGGACCATCAGTAATCCCAACTGTGCGCCAACAGTTCGCATCGCGACGTAAGGTACATCCCCTGTAGTATAGTCACTGTGCGTAGATATACCCATCAGTATCCACAGTTATGCGTTTGTGTCCCCTTCCCAGCCTCCCAACGTACTTGCCAATCTTGCTAAAGTCAAAGTTACCGTCGTATCCAGCCGCTCGACCCGCGAGGGCAATAAGCATCTTAGCGAGCTACATGTTTTACAAGAAATCTGTACGTTTAGCGCTATATATCCCAAAATACGCCCTCACGCAGACACAACGTCTAAACATATATTCCATATCGGTACTTACAGGTGGATGTACATCAAAAAAGAATTCCTTGTTAATGTATTTATTTGCAAATGTGCCAAAGTGGACTTCATCGAAACTACACGTGTAGAGTTAGTAAAAAATAAACGATCAAGATTTTTAACACATGAGTGGTAAAACGTCACTTACACAACTTCATGAGGCTCATCTAAAGCGTTCATCCGAATCGGTATGGCCATGGCACCCAGTGCAAGGGCTGCCAGACCGTCCTTCCACGTTAATGGCGTACGCTCTTGGAACGGACGCGCCTCTTCTAATTTTTTTGTTTCATCCACGTCATGTAAAAGCCGAGAGCCTGATTGCTCGCTTTGCTCTGGTTCGGATTCAACCCGCTTCCGCTGGCGCAATTCGTTTTCCATGTCAACAGAGACTTATGCTGGCACACAACACGAGACAACACGCAAGAAAAAGCTATGGCACCAAAGTATTACAAAGAAAAAGCACCTATTTAGTCGAAATCAATCATGCCAAAGAAATATTGGGCGTCCGTTCTCAAGTTAGACCCAATGAACGACCGCATAATTGTCCACGCCGCTAAACCAAATTTGTTCGCAGGTGCTATTGGATATGGATCACAACACAAAAGAAGATCGAGAAGCCAGAACGTGTAATTACTGCTGTTCAACACAATATGAACAGCAAAAAGTACTGAGAAGAAAACGAGTAAAACAAAATTTTTTTTATTCATAACGCACGTTCCATAGTTTCAAGCAAAATGTCAGCGTGGTGCTTTTGGAAAGTCAGCATTGGCCGCAGGCGGACGGTCTTGTCACCACAGCCTCCCACGTTGACACCCAATTGGCGCATATCTATCAAAAACTTGTCGCGCTTGGCTGGCGACTCGAGATCAAAGGCGATGAATGCACCTTGACCGCGTACAGAATCAAGCTTGTTGTTGCCAGAGAGATGGTGCTGCAGATAGCTGCCAGTGCTCTTGACATTATTCAGGAGTTGCTTATCTTCAATTTCGTTAACAATCGCAGCAGCTTGCATGGCGCGTACCGGGTCGCCCATCCATGTGTTGTACAAGCGATAAGGCTTTGTGGGTCGCAGTCGTCGATTCAAATAGAATCCAGCGGCTTGGAATTTCTTGGAAAATGTCACCATATCTGGCGGACTGGGCAAATCCCATGCTTCATGTGCCCAAAAGGTGCCAGTGGCGCCAGCACCAGTTTGGACCTCGTCAATGATGAACAAAATGTCATTCTTTTGACAGATGGCTTGTAATTGGCGGAAAAAGTGTGGTGAGGCTAGCATATCAGAGAGATGAATTTTTTTCTTTGCTAGTTAGTATATTTGTATGGATGCATAATACTCCTATTCCATATATGGATATATAGATAACGAAACGTGTGCGTCCATACACACGACACGAAACGACACATACCGTGGTTATCGCCTCCTTCGGACTGGATCGGCTCTACCACAATGGCAGCAACATCGTGCTTGTTCAATAACTGCTCCACTTCGTGCAGCGATTGTTGCTCGACCTGACTGTTGTGCTCTTGATGCATGTGGAGCGGGTATTTGAGTTGAGGGAACGTGGCCTTGGGCCAATTGAAGGCAGGAATATCGACTTTGTGGAGGGCCTTGCTGGAAGTTGCCGCCAATGAACCGAATAAACGGCCGTGGAATCCACGGGAGAAGCTAAGGATGGCCATATCAGGCGAGCCAGGTGCTTGATTGTGCATGCATGATTGCAATTCATTTAACGAAAAGTCTTTATCGCCACGTCGTTTAGCCGCCTTGTACATGAATGCAGTCTTGAATGCGTTCTCGTTCGCGCATGATCCACACATGACTGTGAATACGTTCGACATGCCCGCAGGAGCGACACGCATGAATGCCTTCTCGACTGAATCTACCCAGTCCTTATTAGGATTGACGCCGAGGGCCGCTCTAACACATCATCCCAGCAACAAGAACAACGTCAATATGAGATCATGTATAGTTCTAGCGCACTCCTCCTCTTACCGGTTGGCAAGTGCTGTTTGGAAAGCAGGCTCTTTTGCGAGGTTAAGGAAAGCAGGGTTATTGTAACCGACAGGAATGGATGCGATCTGCGCAAAAACGTCCAACATAGCATTGCCGTCGGCATCAACGATATAATTGCCCTTGGACTTTTCGAAATCTATATCACACGTCACAATAGCAGCAAATCCAGTCAGAAACATGTTTCAGCACTGATCCTGTTTGTTTCCCAACAAGAAGATGTGTTTACGGCGACTTACCAGCAACAAAAAAGACAGATCGAGTGTCTTGGTAGTTATCCAATTGAGTCATGATTCGCTTAGACTCAGGGCCGGGAACAGCGGTTTTCATGAATGGACCAGCAGGCTCATCAGGAAAGTAAGGGGCATCGCCGCCACCGGTAGTAGTGACAGCTTCGCGTAATGCTTGTGCAGTAGCGTAATGGCGCTTGCCAGAGGTAGCAAGGAATCGGCGAGCGGCGATCATCATCGTGGTACAAAACTAGTAATAACCAGGGATATATGAGGGAAAAAGGGACGGGTTGGAAAGGATGCGACTAGAACGATCCAGTATTTATATGCTTTTCATGCCCTGTTCATTTCATTGGAAGAGCAAAAAAAAAAAAAAAGATAGGGATGGATCGCTCGGTGTATGCTTGTATCAGTATAAGGAAGGCAAAATTCCCTTATACTCATAAAGCCAACTGTGATCCAGCATTGGAAGACAGATGCGATTGGTGCACTTTTGACAAATAGCATGCTCGGGTCTTCCGAAACAACTTGGCCCTTACTTTGTAATAAACTTTTACCTGATGCCGGTAATTGCCACAGTGGGATCGTCGCGCACATCCTGCTTGTATTTATCCTGTAGGTGTCCCACATGTGCTGTGTTGGGGCCTTTGCATGACGTGTGATTCCTTTTGCCCTTGTGTGACTTGAACAGCCCGTGTGGACCCTGTCAACTTTGCAAAACCGATTTTCCGTAAAATAATTATTCAACTTATTTCAACTTCTTTTTTTTCCCTCCCACTTTCCGTTTAAGAGCTGCCCTGTGGGCGGTGAAATGAACTCCTCCTTAGCATGCTATCGTTTGCAATCCGGACAGCTGCTAATGATCCTGGGCAGACGTGGTGCAACCTTCACCATGTGCAACTCATGCTATCGTTTATCGGTGTGAAACACGCACATATACAAGAGATATTGAGTAAGAGAGTGTCCTATTATATTCTATATATGTGAAAGCTGGCGTAGAAAATACCATAACTCACTCGCTTGTGGCCAAAGCAGATTATATCGATAGTGTTGGTGCACAGAAGCAACAAACGTTTGAACTCGATCGCTTTCTTCGCCATTTGCAAACGATCTTGGGTCGATTCCGCTACACGAATCCCCTGATCGATCTTGAGATTGCATGGCGTATTGTTCATCGGCAAGAGTCTGTATGTATCTTGTTGGGCGGTACGTCTGGCAGTGGCAAATCCACGTTGGCAAGTCTGTTGGCTCACAGGTATAATCATTGTGCTTATGACGCTCTCTCACTATTGTAACTGAAAGCATATATATCGTTGTCCTGTATTGTTCCCGTTCTTTTAGAATTGGTATTACGACCGTGCTTTCCACAGACCATGTGCGTAGTCTGCTGCGCAGCTTTGATCCAGAACACAAGTCAGAGGTGCTATGGGCATCCTCATACCATGCCGGAGAAAATTTACCTGATCAAGAGGTTGTTGCTGGCTATGAAGCACAAAGCCAATTGATGCTGGACACGTTGGATAAGATGCTTAAAGGATATGCCGACCGCAAAGAGAGTCTTGTTATCGAGGTAGGCTTGAAGGGGAGGAAGCAACGGGGCTCAGGAACAAGATAAAAGGGGATCGATCGTATGATGTATCTATGCAACAACGGTATTGATGTTGCTATTGTGATTTAGGGTGTAGGTCTCTCTATTGATACAATGAAATATCTTGCGAAAAAGTATCCGAATTGCATACCACTGGTAATCTATATCAGTAACGAGGTGCGAATAATAAACTTTTAGCTCATATCTTTCTGCTGCCTCGAAATCTACTAATCTTTTAAATCTTGGCTGATTTAGCATAAGCATACCGAACGATTTGCAGTTCGGGCAAAATACATGACCGTTGCACCTAGGACCAACAAATACATACGATATTTTGACAACATCCGGTTAATACAAAATCATCTTTGCAGAAAAGCCGACGAATATATGGTGAGGGAAACATTTCTTTTAGCAGGAAAAAAAAATAGTTACTAACAAAAAGGGTAATCGAACGCAGATCCCGAAAATAGATAACACTAATGTCGATCGTAGTCTAGCCATTTTACACACCACCGTGGTAAGCCTTCCTTGTTTTTTAGCTCCCCGAGCGTTCGGTGGTTACATGACAATCTGATCATAATTTCACCCATATAGATAAATGTCCTAGCGCGTATGAAGCGAGCGAATCAGACGTGTACGGTGGATCCCGTGTCATGCAAGTTTGTCACAGTGTTTGAAGAGTTTACCAAGGTTCACCTGGCCACCTGGAGCTCCAAACAAATGCTGCGGAGGATCCGCCAGGATGTAAGTGCATTTTCGTTTATGCAAATTGATGTCAACTTGGGAGGGTTTCTATCTTCTTCATTAATACTCATGCATGTAGCTGTGTTGTGATTTTAGTCCATCAAGCGATCCATACCGCAAAAGGCAAATCTAGAATCATCCTTCTACTGGGAAAGCGAACAAGATCACACGGAAAGAAAGCAACAGCAACGCGGGTCCCAATCGTCCATGACGAAACCGACAAATGTTCTGTTGGCGTGTCAAACACGATGGAAGGCTGCAGTAAAAGCATGGACTAGCCGATCATAGTTTAACCTCACCAATACCCTCTCAAAACAACGCATCTACTCCACCCTCCTCATTTCTACCATTTTGCGCCACACTCTGCACAGCTTTCCGAAACCACCCATTTCATTACAATTGCTACTTCGTTTTTTTTGCATATCATCCATCGATTATCTCCAATATATACACATACTACAACAACTCAATTGCAACTGCTTCATGTCATCATCCCCGTCGCTAATACAAGAAGACATACCAATTACATATAAACACCTCTATTTGGAATCGAGTTTGAACCAAACGAGTCTAAATTTCGCACCGAGGTTGGTCTTACATCTTTAAAATGTAACGTTGGCAAACCCGCTGTGTGATAGATGCCATTAATAGTATAGCCTTTGTACAGAACACACTAGACCAAAAACATCTAACGATGAAGTTGCACCCTCCTTTGGCTTGTGCGTCGTCAAGATCAAGCGATCCTGCATTTATCGTCTTGCGCTTTAATACTGGTGGTAGCTACTACCATCGTGAAGGCGTATATCATCAAACGTACATACTAGCAATAACGGAAAAGCTTATTCTGCGCAAAACAAGTAACTCTTCTTTGCATTGCTTGACAATTTTATGAACATCGTCACCCGAAACAAATCATGAAACGTATTACTCGGGACCTGTTCTCTTTAATGTTTTCGCGTACGGCCTTACCCCACGCAGTATTTGCCCGATATAGAAAGAGCCACTCGGTCATACCAAATCGTTATAATAAGAGAGAAACGTCGGGCAAATTATATAGAAGAGATATTGGTATTGATCGCAACGCTTGAAAGAAATTTATGCCTTGAACGAAATTCGGAAAGGGTAGAATTCTGATTAATGATGCACGTTAATATAAGACTTTCTTGTAGGTGACCACATTATTGTTCTTTTATTTCCTTTTTAGAAAAACCGCGTTCTATAAGATACTGACTTGATGTGGCGACAATCTGCGATCAGCGGGCAACGGTGGCAGTTGCTTTGTCATTAAAAATTTTGGCACGCCTGCTCCCGAGAGAAATAAGAAGACTAAACGGCATCTTTGGGATCGACAGTAAGCAAGTGGAATGGACTAAACAGTATCAGAATATTGACTGAGTATGTTACGTGTCTCCACCCCTTCCTTCCTTTATATGCTTAGTCAAATTGAAACTTACTGATGATACGTCTATTTCAATGCTTACTTGTTGCATTTGACCTTCAACTGCCACTATCATCGTTTGCGGTGATGCCACTGGCTTCTGTTTGTGCTCTTTAATATTTAGAGGACAAAATAATAACGATAATAATAATATTAAAGTTTACAAATAGGTGACGCTCAAGTATACATTACACCAAAAAAAGACATTAGGGTATTGAAGGTGCCATTTCGCCGCGTGTCAGTTTACTATATGCATGAGGAAAGTATTTGACTGACAACAGAAGCTGCTTCAGAGCCATGGGGACAGGTGATGGTTGAATACAACTGTAATACACTATGCATTACAATATTACTACTTCGATGTTTTGAACACTAACTCCAACGATGGATCGTCAGGCTGTATCATATGAGAGGCTCGGCCACTTTAATTGGCACGCCTATCATGTGCCGTCAGCTGGAGCAAGTACCAAATTGATACTGAAAATGTTGCTAATTTATCCAATGAACCGTAACCTGGTGCCATTGTTAAGTATACTAAATGACCATCAAGAGGCACATCATGGCTCGATGTTTTGTTGTCGTTGCTGACATCGTCTGTGATATCCTGTCAAAGAACTGGACAAGCGTCCCGCACTGTTTGCAGTACTAATTCGTGGTACATGTACGACAACGTAATCCAAAAAACTTCAAAATAATAATTAGTGTCCGCGAAGGATCATATAATTTGGATACTTACAATAGAGTCTGTATCCGCCCCATTGTCAAGCACTCAGGAACGTGATCACAGGGCGATGATGTACTTTCAATTATTTGATGGTGGTGGCGATACCTCACCACGTACTATGTACATACAGTTGTAGCTATTTTTCAGTGCCATTATCATGTATTGAGTTCTTGCTTCGATCCCATTCTCCTGGCTATAGCCTTTCTTACCAATCCACTCGTTCTTTTTGTTGATTCATAGATGACGGGTTACGCACAGACAATGATCCTATCAAGCCATCAATATCGATTATTTACATATATATACTGCAGCATCTAGTAATTGTGCCACAAATAACTCGTCAGCACAAATCAAATATGGCTGCCTTGAAGCACGTCAGTATGATAAGAGCCTGGATGAGCTCGACATGGCATAGCACGCTTTATTCATTGGCTAGTTTTTTGTTATTGTTGCTATCTTTCGTCTTTGGCAAGCCAGTGCCAGTAAAGGAGGTCATCATCCTTGTTTTACATGATTGCTTCAACGTAGCCCTATTGCACATGCATTGTTCGAAAAGCTGAAGCCAAAGATCAGAACAAAGGGAGCATAAAGGAGAAGACACAGAAGCGCGCGGTTCACTGTGCATGCTCAACGGCAGTGCATAATACAGGTATTCCATCTTCGCATTCTGGAAAAGCGTACGTGGGCTTCAAATGTGTCTTTTGTATGTTTGTAGCTTATACAGATGCCGAGAAAAGTGAATCAAATATACAGTAAAAAGAGGGATGGATCATGTATATACAAGTGGAGAGAGAAAGAAATTGGCGATTTAGAAAATAGAAAGATCCATAGCATGGGATATTCAGTGAGACATTACTTGGCATCGATTTCATATATTTTTCGCTTGGAACTGGCTTTCAGAGAAGGCATGCAGGGAGGTATCGGTGATGGAATTAAGCCATCGTCTGTCGGTAGAACAATGTCGTCGTCGTCATTGATGATGGCAAGCGTGTTTTTCATGATAGTTTTAGCCTGCCACACCAAAGAAAGAAGAGGAATGAACATTTTTGAGAACTGTTCAACAGACGAAGGGAACTCGTATAGGCCAAATTTTTTAATTCTCACTACTGAACTATTGGGGCAATCCAGAATGTACAAGGTCAGATTCCTTCCTATTTAGAGACTTGTGTTAATCGAAATTGAGAATTGAAATAGGGTATTAATCATTAACAATAAATTAATAAAAGGTTTTAATAATTATATATAAATAATTGTTTAAAAATATATAGGAAAAAATAAAAAATTAGATTATAATTTTTTTATTTTTGAAACTTTTAACTTTTTTTTTAACTTTTTTTTTTAATTCTTTAAAAGGTTTAAGTTCTGTATAAACCTTTTTAAATATTTTAAAGTGATATATCTTTTAATGTTTAATGTTTAATTTAAAAAGTGGCGGAATGGTAGTGAGCATACCCTCCTCTACCTGAGGAATACTTGGACAATTGGTAGCTTGACAGTGAAAGGAATAACAAATTAATTAGCAATTTATTGCTAAATTAATTGTTATGGATTGATACTCATAGAGAGATTTGGATAAGTTAAAAATCGATTTCGGGACCCCAAGGTGAATTACATCTTGCAGCTCTCCATTTGGTGCATGTTCTCCAAAATCAATTTTTTCCTATTCCTATAACTCTTTATATGTCTTTCACGTGAGAATTAAAATGGGAGGCAATGTGAGTACTAGATTATGCTTACCAGTTACGATGAAGCCAATGACCTTAAGGTCATGGGTCCTGGTTGGCGCCATCTTTGACAAACTTGCCAGCATGTCTTTGAGCGTTCTTGGAAGCTTTAGTCTCCCTTCAATGGTAGCTTTTGTGTTGTGCTGGTCGTCGGAGCATGTCACTTCCAGACAGCCATACTCATGAGCCCCATTAATGAAGATGAGGTCAACCTTTGTTCCTACTAGCTTTCTGTCCAGTAGACCCTCATCATCTGTCCTCCACGCTTCATTCTTTCTTACTGAGGAGCTAGAACTGGCCTTTTCACCAGTACATGCCAAAGTGATTGGTAAGTTAGGGTGATATAAATCATTAGATATCATGCCGTCGTATAGGTTCAAATACCTTTGCACTCGGAGCTTTGACTCATAGAAGCACAACTGGATAAATCCCCATTTCTGGTGAATCAGATCAGCTTCAATATCATCATTGGCTGGCAGAATATCATATAAGAACAAGTCTAAGATATTGATGATGGATATTTGAGCCCAGTACAAATCAGCTTGTTCGATGGGGTGGGGGTAATGGGTTTAACACGAAACAGTTATTTACATATCCTCCTTTAGAAGGAAAGAAAATAAACATACTTCTTTCCTTCTAGATAGGATCTTATTCAGACATACCTTTTTGAGGTAGATTCTATAAGTATCATTATTCAATGAGAAACTAAATGTCTTTACTTTTTTTAAAAAAAATAGTGTTATTTAATTGATGCTATCTAATTTTATTAATTTATTAAAAGAAAATGTTTACAAAAATGTCTTTTAAAATCTTAGCGATCGCCCTATTCCCCCTTTGTATCCTGCGATTAACTTTAAACTTAGTTTGGGTTATTTCTAGTTATTGGTTTAAAATACTTATTTATAGATGTAATAGATTATTACAAACTTATTATTCTTTATTACAGAATAATATTCTATCTATTATTAAGTTTATTAAACATAAGTATTACTATTCTACAGATAAAAATCATTTTAGATTTGCATCTGTATTTTTAATTCCTAATAATCTAGTTGATTCTATTCATCTTTATTTTATAGAATT